CCGACATCCTGAGGAGTCACTAGGTCGTTGACACTTTCACTCCCCGCTCTTTAGAACCACTAATAACACCACATCGCTTGTCTGTCCTACCACCTACGCCTTCGCCGCTCGCACAACAATCGCATATTACTCCTAAACAGTATCCCCGTCGTACTTACAACATCGACGCGTCGCGTACAACCAATTGCCCCGAAAATGAACCACAATGTCCCCGAACAGCGCCCGCGCCACATCCCCCGCCTCGCCGGACACAACGTCCACACTCGCGAGCTTACACGAGCTAGACAGACCAATCGCGTAGCTCGACCGCTGGCTCAAATTAACTAGCCCCCTCGCATCCGACGCGCCTCCCGAACTCCAGGGCGTGGCACAGCGGAAGCTCATCGATATAAGCGACATGCGCGCCCAGAAAGAGAGTGGGCGGGATCGGGTGCGTGCCGAGCTGTTCGGCGCTGCGAGCGGCCACGATGGCCACGTCACCGAGTCTGATGTCGAGGCAGACGGTCAGTCCAGCGACGACGACAGCGGCGCCGGCAGCGACGATGACAGCGACGACGCACAAGGTCAACTTCTGCCTGTTCGCCGACATGTCTCGCCACCACTCGAGCACTTTGAATATCGCGTCGTGAGCCCTCCGTCAACTTTCCCGCAGAACTGGGGTGAGTTCCGCTTATCTGATATTCGATTTGGATAAATATTTACTCCCCTGCGTGGCTCTAGCTCGCTCAAGTCTTGGGCAGCCGTCGCATGTCCCCAAACACAACGGCCAAGCATCCAGAGACGACGACGTTCGACAAGCGGCCCGTACAGCGGTATCCACCGTTGGCCAGTCCGCATCGAACAGACAAACAGCGAACACAGCCGTACAAGGCGCCGCCTTGTCTCGCAACCACCCCCTTGCCCTCCGATGCAATGCATCTTCGGGCTGCGCCGACCGCATCGAAGCCCCAGCCGTCACAATCGATCATCGTGCGCTCTCTCACCGTCAGCTCTAGACGCACGCACCTACGGCAGAGAACCAGAAGGGAAAAAAGAGAGCACTAGAGATCGTGGAAGTCAAGGAAGAGGAGGTCGATGAAAAGCCTAGGAAGAGGCACGCTGCGAACAGGGAGAACTTTACCGCCAGATACAGCAAGTACGACGATGAAGAGCGTGTCCCTGAGGGACCCAGACCTAAGCGCAGCAGGCGCAACCCAGTCCGCTCGTCCTTATGCCATCCGTCTCGCCATGTGGAGAACCATGACCGACTCCGTGCGGCTGGTGTTTCCAACGTGCCAACAGCTGCGCCCATCGCGGTTGTTGCTCGCCTTGCCCCTGCAACAGCCGCACCGGGCGCCGCGCCAGGGCCCGCCGTCGTTGCGCCGGCGGCGCAGCCAGCCCAAGGCGCCTTCGTTATCATACCGCCTCCGCCCGCCCCTGTATACCTCCCGCCAGTTAACCAAGCACTCGCCGCTCTCCCTGACCCACCGTACAGCATCGCGCTGCCTCCGATCGTCGCACCCCAGCCGGCGACGACGCAGAACCTCAGGATGCAGCTTGGCTTCGTCATGGTGTAGCAGCGCATGGTTTCCTTTCCAATGTGACACAGAGAGATAGTCTTGAATTGGTCGTGGAATTTGTAAAGTAGTTGGCCCCCTTCTATCAATTTTTTGTTGCACACCTCCGGACGAGCTTGAGCAAGACTTGAACTGGCGGTCTGCCGCTGAGACAACAGAGTTCCCTTTGCTGCGAATATTGAATAAAAATGCGACGCCCGAGTGCTGTGCCACAACAAAGATGCATGGAGGAGGAGGGAGTTGGAGGGACGCGGCAGGATTCTGAAGATAAGTCGGAAGCCGTGAAGATTTTTTGCTCTGCGGTAGCATCGTGGCGTCTGGTCCATCGGGGTCCTGGTTCACGTGACTAGAGACGCTTGGACAGTCGAGACCCCGGATTGGTTTGCGACGAGTTACAACCTCTTCTGGCCTGGACTGTGGGTGACCGACTCCAACGACTATAACGATATTCAAGGCAGGTCGATTTATGCAGCATGACAGGCAGCAGAGAGCTACGCATGCTAGTATATATACTGAAGAACCGAGTCCAGTAACTTGAAGGTCGTGGTCGTGTGATGTTGGCCCCGGCCGGGGATCCCGGATGAAGGCCTTGTGACGACACTCGACCTGCATAAAGGAACATCTCTCTTCAAGCCAACAAACTTGTAATTATACACGCGAGGGGCTGTGCATGGTCTGGCCTGGTCTCGCTGCTTGTTTAGATCGTCACCCATCGTCGGTCCGCACAATTATTCCACCCACCACTGCACTCACCGCTCGCTAGCTGACTCGATTTGCCGACTCCAAGGTGTTTTCGAATGTAGCGCTTCCATACGCGCCAAATAAAGGCCTGTGCATCAGTGTTGGGCAGTCAATGACCGAGTCATCCCAGTCACGGTCATTGACTGACAGCTGGTCATTGATGGGTCAATGACCCAGTCACGGTCAATGACCGGGCGGTTTCATGGGTCCCGCGTGAGCAAGACGCCGGTATTGAGCGCTCGACGAAGCGGGAACCACGCTCGCACGAAGCAGTAGCAGCTATCGATAACGCACGGCAGTAGGGTACTATAAGAATATCGAGCCCTGCTGTGTACACACATACTACTAGTTTTTGATTAAAACCATTCTCTCCTGCTGCGCCTTTGGCCTTTCACCTGGGCAATCTCCATCTGGTCATGCACCCTAGTAGCCCAGCCGGAGCAGTACCAAATCTCCCAAGCCGTCCGAGGGCTCATACTCGCGGATGGTGGCGAGGATTCTTCATAGACCACCCTCTGCTAGCCCAGAAGCATTCCGATGCTTTTAGCAACCC